CTCCCTGTTAATCCCGCTCTCCCTTCCTATCTTCCTCTCTGTCTCACTCTTATTATTCTTTCTCTTCCGTTAAAGAAAACAAAAAAAATTAATTAAGGGAATTCAATTGAAATACCGCATTGGTTGATGCAACGACATTTGTTAGTTAGCTGCTGCCAGTCTAAGTTCAACCTATAAGACACTTCTGTTCCATTGTTGTTGTTTTTTTTTTCTCCGTTTGGCTACGGTGCTGCCTTTGTTCGTCTTTCATTTAATCTCTCCCTTCATTTTTTCTTCCCCTTTGCCTTCGGTTTCACCCTCTCAACTTCAGCAGCACTATATCTATCAGCAAAAAACGAGAAAAAAGACGATCTTAACAGCACTATTATATCTGCGGTCACTGCCATCACCGGTCATACGCGTAAGTGATTTTTGATTATCTGTCCTTATTAATTTCATCCATTTCTTTCTAATTAAAAAGTTTCTTTTTTTAAACAGGACCAATGTTCACTCAAAAAAAAAAAAAAAAAATCAAAAACCACTCGTTATCTGAGTTTTTTCAGTTTTTTCAGATATTAATCATTATTTACCAATAAATTTGTTGCTCTTTAGAAACAAATCATCACTTTTTTCCCTTATTATTTTAATCACTAAAAAAATTGATCTCATTTTTTCCTTTTCTAAATTTACTAGTGGTTTTTTGTTTACTCATAAGGTAGTTGCCTTGCCTTTTCCCTATAGAGTATCATTCAATATTTTATAACAATGTTGTTGTTATTAGTTTTGTTATTATTATTGCCATTATTTGTGCGGGTCTTAAAATCTTATAAAGTGTTTGATGATTGTACAGAAAACAAGGCTTATTATTGAACTGTTTAGTGGAATTACTGGCGAGTAAACAATATCTGGAAAAAGCAGTTACATCAATGCTATCTAAACAAGAGCGGCTGAGGAAGGAGGGGGAAGAAAAATGGTTATCTGGTAACCAGATGGCGACAAATACTTTTTTTTTTCGAGTAAACGACAATAAGCAAAAGAACGTGGAAAGAAAAATACTGAACTACAGGTATCTTAGATGAACACAGCCTTTCAACAGTTTTTCCTTAACCTGCTGATTACAGTAACAGTTTTTGTAATCTAGACAGAGATAATGAAAGCGAAAAACAAAATCAACCATTTTTTACAGTGTCGGATAAGATTAACTGGTCTGGATTAAAAAAGCGTATTGGTCAAGACACTCAGTACACATATCTAATCTTTAGTTATTCAATGAAAAGAAAAAAAAGTATGATTATGACCAATACCTTAGAACTTAAATTTTTTTCGCTCTTTTAAGCTTCTGGGTATTTTAATTCTAATTATAGTTGAGCAAAAAATTTCAAGTTTGCTTTGTCGATTGAAGCCACTAATCTTGCCGGCTAAATTTTGGCAGGTCAACTGCATCTGATCGGTAAGCAATAACAGATGACGAGAAACAAAAAACAAAAACAACTGTCCCAATGATAATTAAAGGCCGATTTGCGAAAAGCTATTAGAGGTATTTTGTAACATACTGTTTCAGCCCCAGCAGCACGTCACGTCGACTGGAAGGTTGATGGTTCATCAATTAAAATTAGATGACTATTTGACTGAAAACTGCCGTTAGTGCAGCTTTTAAGGAAACCTATGATTTATTTTTTTTTTTCTTGCAAAACTAGTGCAAACTCACATCCGTAATTGGCAAACTAACTTTTCGTCAGTTTTGCCCTTCATTATCCAACTAACTTCCTGCTTTCAGTTTTCTTCTCCTAAATTATTTCTTTCTCGAAAAAACTTTTAATGCATCCCATCCCCATATTAAAGCAGTTTTGGAAAGAGCAATTGCGACAGTTGCACTTATTAAAACAATAAAATAAGTTTTCTTTTTACTATTCTTTAACATATTTTTTATTCTACTCAACATTTATTAAAAAAATTGCTATTTAGTTGCTCAAATTTTATCGGCAGTAATGAAACCCACAGATTGCTTATTTATCCCCTAATGTGGTACATATGACTAGTTTTTTTGGCAGTTTTGAACAAACACAAAAAAAAAAAATCTTTGATGAAATTCTCCATCATATCGAACCATATAAGGAGAAGGCGAACTGTATAGCCTAATCAAAAAAAAAACTTTTAGCTTTATGCTTCCACTTCAAACTTTTCATGGTTCCTGGCATACTCTATGGAACTCATAACAGCATTGAAGAAAGCTGAGTAATACTGATAACATTATTACCATGAATATTAACAGTAACGGTAATAATAATAGTAATAATAATAATAATAATAATAATAATACAATAATAATAATAATAATAATAATAATAATAATAATAATATAATAATAATAATAATAATAATAATAATAATAATAATATAATAATAATAATAATAATAATAATAATAATAATAATAAGACAATAATAATAAATTAATTTT